CCCCCCCCAGGTACCGTTAGTACACTTCGTAAAATCTAGAAAGATTTTAACGGTTCCCATAATCTCGGGGATTATTTTATCTGACATGTTTATCTTTGTTTTCTTCTTTACCAAAAAGAACCCGTACAAGCATTAAAACGTTTGGTACATGCAAAGTTTTCCATGTCTTTAACTTTTCTAGATCAGACAGCGACCTTTAAAATGTATCCTACCCGCAATACATCGATAAGGAAACATTCCCGATAATATATTTATCGTACTTTTGTCTATCGCTAGGAAATGCCAGTTTTAATAGGTACTAGTTACTGGCAGTGAAATTCTGTCTGACCAGTTATCGCAATATACCCTTGATGACGAAGTACGATAACGTTCTCAATTATGATAAATTGCGTATAATTACGCGAACCGCCTCAGAAGCGGCGGTGGTTGCGGGGGTGGTTTATCTGGCTGATAAAAGGGTGGTTAGCGACTGAATGGTGTTGGAAACCCTTCTGAAAGGTTGGCTGGCTATATACCTATCATGGTAGCCAACCTTACCGAACGGTTGATAGGTATGGGTTGGCTACGGACGATTTGCATGCGACCAACTTAATCAATGCCAACACCTTCAGGAACAATGGACGCGCCTAACCTCGCTGTAAAAAAAAAACCCTGAAAAAAAAAGTCCCTAGATTGAAGTACCGCCACCTGGAAATCCCTATCCTCCACCCCGCTGGCCCACCCGACACCTTCGCCATCAACCAATCATCCCTCACCACCTTCGTCTCAACCCTACAGATAATTGCCACCAGATTAGAACCTCATACCCGCCATCCCCTCTTCAGGCATACCAACCTCGCACTTTACTTATACCCCAACCACCGTCTTCACCGCCGCCACACCGAGTTACCAGATAGATTAGTCGTTTGGTGATTAAGCAATTAACGCGAGATTATGTGGTTAAGGTAACAAAGGACTTGATAAACACTTTGATGACTTAATGACAGTTCATTATCGGTAAGTCTAAATATTCTTGCGCCATCATTAATCGTGATTAATTTTTTAAATATGGATTTTTCAAATTCGAATTTTTCATATTCGTCCTATCTACCAGGAGCGGGGTAATCAGCATATTTCCCGTCTTTGCGAACTCTTTCAAGGAGGCTACGAACGGCTGAAATTCTCCAAAAAGTAATATCATACCGAAAAACACGGCGGCACTCGATACGTTCGTAAAGCGAGACACAGAGATGAAGGAAATACTCGAATAAATTCAATTGAAAATTTCGCGACAGTTTAAACGTCGTATAAACGACATAAAGGAAGACTGCGAAACTGGACAATCATACGAGCGAGAAGGAGCGACAGTAAAAGATAGATCAAAGGAACCAACGATGCTCGAAATAGTTATATGAAGCGAATAAAAAAGTTTATGCGAAAAAAGAAAGAAAAATGCTGTTTCGTATAGTTAGCGGCAAGAGGGTTGGGGTGTGGGGGGTACAATCCAGGTGAAACGTTTTTTACTGGTTCTGTGTAAATTTTTCAAAAAAAAAGAAAAAAAGTTTTCTCTCTTTCCGTTGAATTTTTAATATTTATTTCCAACATCCTCCGCCTAACAATTTGTTTCCTCTGCTATTTTACAGATTCGATACAGTTGAGATTAAAGAACATTATCGTTCCACCGTTGCTGAAAGACGACGTGGAATCCGTAATACTAGATTGCGACTATGACTTCGAAGATACGTCGCACGATGGCCTTGTGGTCAAGTGGTACAAGGATAATGGTAACCTGTTAGTCTATCAATGGATTCTCCATTCGGAACCTCGAGTAACCGACGAGTTTGAGAATTACGTGGACGTGAATTACACGGCAAGCGATGATCCACTCACGATGTACAGAGCATTGAAGTTCGTCAGACCTGGAGTCGAATTGACTGGGACATACAAGTGCGTCATATCTGTCTACGAGGGCGAGGTGGAGGGAATTTCCAAAATGGTTATTTATTGTGAGTACTGAATATACATACTGTTACGCGTACCTGTGCAAATATTCATTTTGGACTTAGCTGCTTAAAAGAATCCTGCATTTTTTTTCTTCTACTTTCAAAATTACCAGACGACCCTTTCGATATTTCATCCCTGTCCCTATCCCTCGGCAGCGACCTTCCACGCCTAGAGAAAAAAAAAAAAATAACGACCGAGCCAGGTTGACTTAATGCACGATTTTTGTTCCAGCGACGGAAGATAAATTCGACCTGATCCTGAGCGAAAAGAACCAGACCAACAAGGATAGATTGGAAGCGATGTGCATGGCCGAAGGTCTCTACCCTAAACCCACGCTGGACATATCTATAGGGTAAGTGGTTAACAATCTCTTCTGCATAAGTCAGATATTTTTACTTGATTTTTTATTTCACTCTCGAATGTCGTTCGTCCCGACGGAAGCTGCGACGTAGATTTCTCATTTCCACATGAGCTCGTATTATTTTAAAGTCATTTCACCGAGATTGATGACGTATGTAAATAATCGTGAGACATTAAAAGAAATTAGATTCTATATGCCACCTTATCATTTATACCAGACATTTCTTCTATCTAGTCGTGTTTTCTTTTTCTCATAAATATTTACGTGTCACTTACTTTTTTCTTTATTCATTTCACCATATTCTCGTGTTGTCTCTATTTGCTCCATCTCTAGATTGATTTCTTTCCCCTAGACCAGAGACATTCCTCTTCAGGCCAATTGGGCCCAATTTTTTCCTCCCTCGCACTCTCGCAAACGTCACTTCCTGAATCCTATGCCAAGCCCTACCTTCATTCGCATGCCTTTCGACGTTGCCAACGTGTTCCCGAGTGAAGCTCGTGTGAGAAAGTGAGCTGATAAAAAATTCTCACATTGACATCCACACGAATCACTGCGAAGAATACATTTTCCATGTTGTGTAAAATCGCGGACCAGTTTCCACCTGGTGTCACCCATCGATGCAGAGAAATTGTTTGGCTTTCCCATTTGGCGTACGAATGCCACCCGTAGATCAGAGGAATGCATTTCCGGCTTACGTCGAACGTCGATCTTATTTTACCACTAGCTTCTTCCGTAATTCCACGTCGGGTCTAATGGAATCATCCAATATTCCATGTATGTTTTTTTTTTCGAATCTATCCACCTACTCCTCTCTCTCTCTCTCTCTCTCTCTCTCTCTCTCTCTCTCTCTCTCTCTCTCTCTCTCTCTCTCTCTCTCTAGTAGACGTAGGGACGATGACCTTATCGTACCCATCCATCGCACTGAATGTTATAGACATGCTATTCACGTTAGTGGAGCTCTCTTCTGGAACTCCTTGCCAACCACTGTCAGAGATGCTCCCACTAAATCCACGTTTCGCGCACGACTGCGTGACTATTTAATTGTGGATCAATAACACGGACACACTCAGTACAACTAAAATTAAGTCATGTAGCAATACCTTACTCTAACTAGTAATAAGTTATAGTATTATTGTTCACCTTAGTCTTATCGTTTTGTTCATTGCTGTCACCTACTCAGTAGGGTGGATAGTATATGTGCATACATTTACCGAATGTAGGGTACACTAATTATAGCTGTTTCTTTTGTCTACTAGTGCTATTCACTAATTACATATTTTTGCTTATATATTACTTAACGTGGAGATTTATGATATAGTCTGTTACTGAAATTGAGTTTGACTCATATTATACATTACATTCTCTAAATTGTTACTGTATGATGTTATGGTCTACGGGATTTAAGCCCTGATCAAATAAATTGAATTCTCTCTCTCTCTCTCTCTGGGCCGCTCTCTCGTAGCGTTCTCGCAGTCCAAAAAATCAAAATCCGGGGGAAATGCCAAGTCGTCTATTCACGGTATCAGTCCAAAATCACTATCTCACAAAAATCCAAAATTCGCCAACCACTTTTCAAAACTCGCTCTCATCAGATTCACGGTTCAAAACGAAGTGACCCCCTTTTGGCCCCCCGGCCCTTTTATCATTATCCTTTATTCTTTATCCATCCGCTCTTCTCGTTCTATCACTTCACATCTCGGTTATCATATTCCATGCTTTAATATGCATCATCGGTGACATTTGGTACCACGTGGTTTATATACGTAACACGCTATGTCACGTGAGCCAAGCCTGCAAGTGACTGTTAGTATCACGAAGATGTCTCGATATAATATTTTAATTCCCGTCGACGCTTCGCTTCGGGAGATGACGTCGATAGTGGAAAAAATATATATATATATATACCTATATATAATAAGGGGGTTGTCGTACGACACGTGAATGGCTCTGGAGGGTGTGGGACGAGTTTGTGGTGAGTTTAGGTTGAGTTAGTCGCACGTGTATAACCCATGGTCTATAGATCGGCTTACTGACACCTGGTGGGGTATGCAGATTCGTTTGAAAATTTCCTTGGGGATGATGGTATATTTTCGACGATATATCTACCAATAAACGTGTATCATATGGAAATATGTATATATTCGACAAATATACAGTGACAAATATGTAAATATATGCCGGATATGTATTTATGTAAATATTCATAGTGCGTACGTGTGCATGATCGAATATGGATAGTCTCTTGAATTTTTAAAGTTTTACCAAAAATTTGTTCTACATAAATTTGGACAGTTTTGAGCGTTCTGGTGAACCTTTTTTTTTTGTTTAACCTAGGAATTTTAATTTAAAATCAGTAATGTTCAATGATATAATTATTTATGATTTCCTTAAAAATCAGTGATACACGGATATACATATATATATATATATATATATATTTAAATAATTTTCAGGCAACTAGAAAATCTCAACGCCAATGTGAGGTTCGCGAAAATGGAAGATCACAAATTCAATGTTTATTCCCATGTGACTGTGGACAAAAAGGATCTACCTGAAAGTGCTATTATCAAGTGCACCTTGGGTATTCCTGATGCTAATTACACTGTATTCCGAGAGACCGTCTACTATTCCGGTGAGTAAAATATTATTTTGAATGAAAAGGATGAAAAGTATTTATATAAGAGAAACAAAAAAGTATGCATGCGTTTGTACGTAAGCGTTTGATTAAACGGTGAGAATTTTAATAACTGCGACCGAGGGTGCTGTTTATTTTAAAAAAATTCCAAGCAATCTGGTGCGTGAATAGGCATAGGGGGGTTGGCGTGGAGAAGGGAAATTGAAATACAATGGCGGCGACAACAGCGAGAGGATTATAGAACATGACGCCAGAGGGTCTCGCGGATGAAATTTCTGCTACTTGAATGTTAAATAAAAAAGCCAAGGAAAAACAAAGAAGCTGTTCGAGGTACGGGGAATGCGAAGCGATTAGAGGACAGTAAGGATCATACAAGCGAAATTTTAACCATGGGTATAACCCGTTAAAAGATTGTTTATAATTTTTTAAAATTTTATATATTTTTTTTTATCAAGCTCAGTCCATACCAAAATTTTAATGCTTTTGAAATTGCATGTCGTAAACCCTATATTGACGGTACGGTTATGCATCGGAAATATCCTTACGTGTTTAAGATTAGTTTGGAAATAGAGGGAGTCGATACGAGTGGATTTACTTTTCTTTTTTTCTTCTTTCTCCTGTACGTCGCTATTGCCGCTGCTTAATATCACTGGGTCTTCAATGTACATCCAACGGCACATCAAGTGGATGTCGTTCGTTTGATTCTAGGTACTCCGCCACCCCTCCACGCCCATCCTAGGCTTTTCCTCAATCATACCAACGTTTTCCATTAATTAGTCAAGCGATACTTGTGGCACGCCACTTGCGCCACGGCATTCGCCGCCATTTTTAATAGAGATTAATGATCTCCGGCTACTCTTCGCTGGGTACCCTGCGCTACCCTCGTCTTCTCAACGTACCCCCACAGTCTGGGGAAAAAGAAAAGCGTTAAAAAGAGCTAGAAAAACGACTAGAGAAACAGGACAGCTTCACTGTTGAAATTAAGTCCCTAAACAGTTTTATCATACTTTTATGCATATACATATATATTGTGGGCCATTGAAAATTTGCTATTTAATTTTTGTTCATTATTCGGTCATCAGCCGTGACAGATGAAAGAATTAAGAAAAGTTTCTCCGTCTTTTTTATGTTAGACTTTTTTTCACCTATCTTGCTCTTTCGTGTCTTCCTTTTTCTACTTTAGTCTCTTTTTTTGCTCGAGTACTCTTGATGGACTCGCTTTGTCGTGTTTGTTGTGCAGGACCACCCTTAACCACAACTAGCAACCCGATGATCAAGATGCTACCAAATACGAAGATTCAGACGTCAAACATCACCTCGGCAGGCAATGTTGGTAGTGGTAAGGCTTTTTTTTTTCCCCCAAGAAATGCACCTCAAACTTAATATTGCATTCTTTTCTACCCCCTTTGGCGGTTATGTCAAAATGAAATAAATACCCGCAAGAATCACGTACCACCAATAGGATGTCCAGTACCACCACAAAAAAAAAAAAAAAAAAAGTTAGTTACCAGCTCACACAAGATCCTGCGTAGATAAGTTTAGTGAAGTTGCACCTGAAATTTAGCCATCTGCAAATAATATATACATACATGTACATGTCCCTATCTTCCATGCACCAGCTGCACTAACCAAGGCTTGTTTGTGCATGACGTGCAATCACTACTGCACCCCACTTTGCACGATTTTAAGGATTTTAGCGAAGCTTTTGTCAAAAAATTCCAAGGATTCTCTGTTTACCGAGAGAAGGTTTGTTACACGGACTGCTTTTGGATTTTTTTAAAAGTCCCAGCTGAAAGCGTCAATTTTTCCATTTTCCCCCAATTAAATGTATTTACGAATTACATAATGATTGAAGGTAGGTGCGAAATCGATATTCGTAAAGAAGCAAAATATGCGAAAGGACGAGCAGAAGAATATCATGAATGTTTAAAGACAACGAAATTCTCAAAATCAATATTTATACCAGATTCTCAAGTTATCCAATCATCAAAATCACGTCTCCACAAATGGAGTAAACATACGTAATTGGATTCTCCGTCCAAAGTACTTTGAGTATGGTGGAAATCACGATAGAATGGAGGCCATACACAGAGGACTCGTAGTAGGTAAGGTGAATGCCAAGGTAGTGAAAACATACGGAGCTAGTCAGACAAGTGTAGATATAGGTAAGTATTCATATAGCTGAAATAGGGAGAAATTGCTATGGACTAAGATAGGTGCGGAGGGGG